CAGCCAATTTCTGCCCTGCCTGGGAGGGGCTGACCCTCCCGTCTGTCCAGCCAGCCGTCCACAGGATGTTCCCGAGACGCTGTCTCCGCCGACATCCCCTCCCTCTGGCCACCCTCGGGTCAGGACCCAGGCGTCCACGGTGGCGGGGGTGGGGCGGCAGCGTGGGGGGGACCCTGTCAGGGCCCCGGAATGAGGGTGAGGGGCGGGGAGGCGACGGGCCCAACAGGTTCCGCCTCATTCCTGCCCCACCTCTCACTTCCTGGGTGACCGCCCCGGGCAGGGGGTGGACGGGATGAACCCCATGGCCTCAGAGCGCCTGGGTGGGGCACAGCCTGCCCGGTGAGGACTCGCTTCTGCTGGGCACCCTGACCCCCGGGCCTGAGAGACAGGAGGAGCCTAGGTCCTTCTGCGAGCCAAGGCCGCTGCCTGTTACTGTGCCCGCTCTGCATTCAAAGCACCCCATCTATCATTCACCTAAACCCCACGACACCACAACGAGTGGGACGTAATTATCCCCTATTTTCAGTTGGGGAAACTGAGATCCAGACACCAATGAGGGTAGAGGCAGGATTCGAACCCAGCTCTGTATACTTCCCAAGACCCCTGTCAGCTCACCAATGCCTTCCCTCCCCTCTCTAAAAATGGTCCATGTTGGGTGGAGTATGAACCCAGGCCCCCTTGAGGCCCGGCTCAAGGGGGCGCCTGGTTCGCTCTGAGTCAAAAGGGGCCCCTGGATGAAATGAATAAGAAAACGGCTTTAACCGTTTCATTGCCACGACGGGCTCTGCCAAAACTTCCTGTGGGCTGGGGGGGAGGGGCTGGGGGCTGGGTTCCCGGAGGCCTTGCCAATTCAGGGATGGGGGGTGGGGGGAATGCCTCTAGTGACCACGGGCGGGCGAGGGCCGGCTAAGGGAAGACACCGCCCCCCGCTGGAGGTGGAACCCCTCCCGCGGAGCTCGGGGGTCCCCAAAACTTGGTTCTCAGCCCCCAACGCCTGGAAGGGGTCTCAGAGTCTGCAGCCCCCTCCCCAGGGACCTGAGTCACACACGGGGAAAGCCAACAGGGGTGAGTCACGGGGGCGGAGAAGGGGAGCGAGGTCGGCTGCGGCCAGGGGACCCCCGGGCTGGCCTGAGTCACGCACACCAGGCTGACCCCAGCCCCCTTCCCCGAGACCAGGAGCGGGAAGCGTATTGTCGGTGGACTCCTGAGCCGGAGGACGAGCGGGAGGGGGAAGGAAGCACGCGCCTGGCCGCGCGGGAAGCTCCGGTTCCCATGGTAACGGAGGGTCTCTCTGCTCCATGGGGGGGGTTCCTCCCTGGGCAGGGACGGTCCCCGCGCGCCGGGGAAGCCCCCGCGCGCTCGGTCGAGGGGCCACAGGTTTCAGGTCCGGCAGGAAGGGGTTAACGGCGGCCCCCTCTCGGGTTTCACCCGCGCTCAAGTGCCGGGGAGGGGCGGGGCTGTGCCCCGCGCGCCCCCGCGCGCCCAGCCCCCGCGGCCGCCCACGCACGCGCGCACGCAGCTAGCCCTGCCCCCTCCGCGCTCGCACGCACGACCGCGTCGGGCTCCGCGCACGCAGCGACCCCCGTCGTGTCTCACGTCACGCACGACGCACGCGCCCCCGCCGCGCGGGGGGGTGGGTGGTTATCTCCGCGGAGACCAGCGGAATGCGGGGCGCCTGATGGCCCCCTGCGCACGTCGCCGCCTCCGCTGAGCGCGCTGTCCCGCGTGACTTTGACCCCCCCCACAAGGTCACAAACTCTCCCACCCACAGTGTCACAGGGACACAGGGTACACCTACCATACCTTGGCACAAACCTTCACTAGTCCAGCCCTCCCCGCAGCCAACACGGACATGGTCAAGCTGTCACATATAGACACACACGAAGACCCAGATAAGCACACAGGCACACCTGTCACACACCGTTTGCGGTAGAGACACAGACAGGGCCATCCCCACGCACACACGGGTGGCATATGTAAACACTCCGATAAGGCCACACCACCATCAAGACAAAGTAAGACACAAACGGATACGAAGTCTTGGATACCAGGACTCCAGTTGTCGCACAGCTGGGCCTCTCACATGGAGATTACAGAAGCACAGAGACACATGGTGAGGACAGACACACACAGTCATGCTGTCACGTGGTCATCACAAATAGGGCACACGAAGTAAAGTAGGGTCACAGAGGCAAACCCACAAGGCCACACACAGGGACACCAGATTGTTGTGGGGACATGGACAAATCAAGGACACAGATGACAGAGTCACACTATCACAAAAAGACACATGATGGAGAGAAAGTAGGACACAGAAACACAACCTAAAGCCACGTTGAAGTACTGATTGTCACACGGCTCACACAAAGAATGACACATGGATATGGACACAAAGCAAGGTCTCATATAGAGAAGGATGTGCCCCAGTCCCTGACAGCCCCCCCCCCATCAAATCACACACAGTCTGTCCATAGATTCCCAGGGCCCCAAGACCCAGGGCTCCCCATCCCCCAGGTGGATGCAGACACTCACACCCGTGCATACGAGCACAGATCCACCATCTCACACCTACACAGATGTAAGCACACTTCACATGAACTCAGAGACACCCACAAACACGGAGAGGGGGACAGGCTGGGAGTTCCTGGCGGGATGTCAGTGTCTGGAGTGCAGAGAGCCTGCCAGGGTCCCTTGTGGTGTGGGGCATGGTGTCCACCCTGTGGCTTGACCAGCCCCGGGGGAGGGGCACCGTCCTTAGTTGTGTGAACGCAGGATCCCCATCCCAGCCCTCACGACTGGGTCTTTGCCCAGATGTGAAGGCCGGAGGGGGCGGGCGGGGGTCCAGCTGTGGCCACAGGGAGGGGTTGAGTCACCCGCTTCCCAGCAGTACAACCCAGGCTGGGCCCAGCTGTTCCTGGAAACAGGCAGGAGGGGGTGGGGTCCCCGAACCAGCTGGGGGCTGCTGGCCCAGACCTGCAGTCTCTGTCTCAGCAAATGGGGGCCTCCAGACCATGCCCCTCCACTGAAAAGGGGGGTTTGCATCCTTCGCCCAAAATATAGGGTCTCTGCCCCAAATGAGGGTTTGTGACCTCTTTCATTGAATTGAAGGTACTGGGATCCCCCCAACAGCGGGGCTCCCTGCATTCCATAATTGGGATTGCTGCTCTTCCCTGCCAGCATTCGAGCTTCCTTTCCCTGCAAACATGAGATTCCCTCCCGCCCCATATGGTGGATTGTGGCGCCGCCCCCACATTGAGGGCACCCGGACCTTTCCTTAACCCGGGGACTCTGGCCACTGAACATCTAGAACGCCCGTGACAGCACATCAACGTTAGAGCAATTCAAGTCCACGCTCCACATAGTTGGATTCCCAGATTCCTCCTAAACATCAAGATCCCTGAAGTTTTTGCAAATATTGGGGGCCCCACCCCAAATATTTGGCAGTCCTAACATGTCCCCGAACATTGGGCAACCAGGCCCTCTCACAAATATTCCCAGCCCCCCATCCTTGTAACAGCCTTAGTTCCTGGCTCACCTCCACTTCTACCTGGCGGCAGGTGGCCCCGTTTCCCCCTATTGGCGGCCCCCTCTCCTCCGGTGGGTGCGGGATGGGACACTGACTTCCCAGCCAGCGGCAGTTGTTCCCACGCCCGCCCGCCGGAAGGCAGCCCGGTCCGGAAACCGGAGCTGCCGGCCCTTGTCCCCTTCCCCCTACTCCCTCTCCAGCCCGCTCCCAGGGGCTGGAGGATGAAAACAAAGCGGGAAGGGGATGTGGGGGTGTAGACGAGCCTCCGGGCCCCGGCGTGCGTGCGTGCGGCTGCGCGTCTGAGTGGGCAGTCACCGAGTGTCTGGTGTGGAGTGACTGTTTCTGCGTTGCGGCGTGGGGGCTGTTGTCATCTTGCCCAACCTGCTCCGGGGCAGGGTCGCTGGAGCCAGGCTCCGGGTTGGAAAAGCAGCGCCCCTCCCTTAGGATCTGGACCCACCCCCAAAGCAGAGCCCGCCCCTCCCTCCGGGTACAGCTAATAACCTCTAATTACTGCTTATTACCTCGCCCGCCCCGCGGGGAGGGGTTGCCAGGGGACTCAGGCGTCAAAGGGGGCGGGCCGGGGCTTTACTCCCTCCACCTAGAGCCGGGTCTACCCAGGACCTCTGTTTCCTCGTCTGTATACTGGGAATTAAAGCCGCACTTCCACCTAGAGTCGTGGGAGGATTCAACCGCCTATATATTTAAATCGCTTAGTGCAGGGACTGCATACTGTAGGCACACTATATGGCGACTGTGATTTTATTGTTAACTACTATCATCACTTTCCTTTGAGCCCCCTCCACCGCCTGGGCGGGGTCTCAGAGCGGGCACATCCCCATCCCCGTAGGCCGCGTTCCTGCGGTCTGCGCGCCCCCTGGTGGGCCGCGGGGACGAGGCGGCGCGGTCCTGGGTTCCGAGGGAAGAGGACCCCGGCGCGGGGTCTGGAGAAGGGAAGGCGCAGGGGAAGCTCAGTGTAGGACGGATCCCAGCTGGGCAAGTGTATCTGCCCATCACCCAGGACATGTGTCTGGCTGACCCATCCTGCCCTCCATCTACCTGGGACCTCACTCGTGTCCCCTTGTCTACCCCTTGGGCAAGACTCCCAAGTCACCTCCACCGGGAAGACCCCTTTGGGATCCCCCCTCCAAGTCCAGAGAACGTGTTCTGGCCCGCCCCTCCCCCGGGCATCATCAGGTGGTTAGACAGCAGGATTTCCCTGAGCTGAAGGGAAGGGACGTGAAGGCGGCCGTGTAACAGGGTGGGGCAGCTCCGCCTCAGATGCTGAGGAGTGATCGTGAGGTCTCCGCTACCCAGAAAGGAGCTGGGGAGGACGGGCGGCGCTGCCACCCTTGGGATGCGCCAGGCCTGCCCAGGCTGACGCCTAGCGGCAGGGCGGCGCCCGAACGCTGCCCGGGTCCAAGATGGCGGGACCGGAGGCCTGAGCGGGCACCGAGGGGAGGTCACGTGCCCAGGGCGGGGCCTGCGCCGAGGGGGCGGGGCGGGGCGGCGCTCTAGGCCGAGCGGGAGGTCGGGGCTGCGGGCGCTCGCTGGTGGCGGATCTGGAGGCGTCTGCGGTGGCGGGGCTCCGCGGCCGGGGTCGAATGTGATCAGGAGCCATGAGCGTGGACAAGGCCGAGCTATGCGGGTCTCTGCTCACCTGGGTAGGTCGGGGGCGGGGCCAGGGACAGGTGTGCGCCCGCTCTTCTCGCCCGGGAGCCCCAACCTTAGCTTAGTCCACCCCACCACCCTGGGGCCGGGAGGAGGTGGGGGTCGTCGGCCTGCGGGGCCGTTGGATTCTGGCCTGAGCACCCGCCTCCGTCATGTGGCAGGTCTGCGTGGAAAGAACAGGTGAGGCCCCCCCTTTCGTGGCTGGGTCACGTGGGGCAAGGGCACAGGTGAGCTGATCTGATCACGTGGTGCCTGTGGGTACCAGGTGACTCGTGATTTTGCCCTGGCCGGGTCGCGCCGGGTTGGTTGGGCAGAGGTGAAGTGAAGCCACGCCCCCTCCGGTCCCAGGTGAGCGCAGGCCACTCCCCCACAGAGCTGGTTTGCTGGAACAACAGGCCAGCCGGGGCCCCACCTCTTGAGGCTCCTGCTGACCGGAAAAGTCTGCAAAAGGGGCGTGGTTCGGTGGTCCCAGGCCCTGACTATGCCCGTGTGCTTTCCTCTCCCCCAGTTGCAGACGTTCCACGTCCTGCCCCCCTGTACCAGCCCCCAGGACCTGAGCAGTGGCCTCGCCATAGCCTCTGTGCTGAACCAGATGTGAGTGAGGCTGAGGGAGAGGGTCCCAAAAGAGTCCCCCAGCAGCTCATCCCACCTTCTCGCCCACAGAGACCCTTCATGGTTCAACGAAGCCTGGCTCCAGGGCATCTCAGACGACCCAGGTCCCAACTGGAGGCTGAAGGTGACAGGTGGACTCCACTGGGGGACAGACTGGTGAAGAGATGATCAAGGAAGGGTCAGCTAGATATGTCCTGGGTGATGGACAGACAGACCTAGTCAGGAAGAGGGATAGATGTCTGGTGATGAGCCAACTATCTTTCATCTATTGGAGCAGGCCTGGGCATGCAGCAAGGAATAACACAGACAAAAACCTGCATACACAAATGTCGACATTGAATTCCAATGGGGATAATTTCTTTGAGGACAATAAAACTGGTCCATAAGCGAGAGCCACTGGGGGTTGGTGGGTGGTTACTCGAGATGGGCTGATCTCCATGGGAGATTTGGAGGAACAGTATTCCAGGACCAGAACAGCCAATGCAAAGGCCCTGAGTTGAGAATAAACTTGGTGTGATGGAGAAATGTCAGGGAGCTCAGAGCAGAAAGCAAAGGAGCAGGAATGGTAGGTCACTAGAGGACTGGCAGGCCGGGGCAGGGAGGTGGATTCTGTTTTAAGTTCTGTGCAAAGTCAAGGGAGGGTTATAGCAAAGGAAGCAACCTGGCTTGGGCTTTCAAAGGCTCCCCCAGGCTGCTCGGAGAGGAGTGGACGGTAGGCAGTAAGAGCAGAAGCTGAGACGGTGTTGGTGCAATAATCCAGGTGAGGGATGATGGTGGCTAGGGCCAAAGGGTGGCAGGGCGGGTGGTAGGAAGTGACTGGGTTCTGGGGACACATGAACAAGATGGGCAGGTGGACAAGAAGAGCAGGCAGCCAGACAGATCACCCCTAGGAGAGGGGAGTTTCTGACAGAGAATGGGGCCAAACAGGATGAGATGACCAGGGATTGGGAGAGGAAGCAGAGAAAAAAGGACGAGGTAGGCAGATTCAGGGTGGGGGCTGCCTGGCCCCTTTTGAGGGGGCTCTGGGACCCTGGACACAACTCCTTGGCCCTCCCCAGGTCAGCAATCTGAAGACAATCTTACAGAGCTTGGTGGAGTACTCCCAGGATGTGAGTAACTGTAAAAGGCTTTAGGGGGTTGAGTTGGGAGGAGGGGGGGTGTCTGTGAGCCCCTGATACCTCCGTGCCCTCCTCAGGTCCTGGGGCATCCCATTTCGGAGCAACACCTCCCAGACGTGAGCCTCATTGGCGAGTTCTCAGACCCAGAGGAGCTTGGCAAGCTGCTTCAGCTGGTGCTGGGCTGTGCCATCAGTTGCGAGAAGAAGCAGGGTATGGGGGCTTAGGGGTCCCCGGGGGAAGATCCGAGGAAATCCTCCCCCACCCCAACATCTCCGACATCTCCGTCTCAGTCTCCCGCACCTTGATCCCTAGAGCACATCCAGAGAATCATGACCCTGGAGGAGTCAGTTCAGCAAGTGGTGATGGAAGCCATCCAGGAGGTGGGTGGGGGTGCCCACTGTGGCAAGCAGCTTCAGGGGAGGGGACATCTCCAGGGCAGAGGCAACTGGGCACAGGCTCTGGTAAGGTCTGGGCTCTGCCTGGAACGCAGTTGGCCAGATTTCCTGTCTCATGTGTCTGCCAGCTTCTCCCAGTTCTAAGTCACAGTCTGGCATGCTCTAAGGACCTGGCCTCCCTGTGTGCTGGACACATGGCAGGAGGGTGGCTGCGATAACCCATGGCAGGGGTTATCGGGGAGAACTGGCTTTGGGGACGGGATCATGGAGAGGTTCTCAGCCTTGAAGGCCGCCCTCAGGGGGCCCAGCTCATCTCAATGTCCCCCACCCCCTCCAGCTCATGACCAAAGACACCCCTGACTCCCTGTCATCGGAGACCTATGGGAACTTTGATAGCCAGGTAAGGGGTGGGAGATCTTGGTTAAATTTAACCCTATTACTGATTCTCAGGGCTGCCTAAGGAGGAAGGGTCTGTCCTTAAGCCTTTAAGCCACCCCCATCCCTTAGGGTCCTAGCTTCTTCTCTTGTCAGGTCCCCAGGGTTCTCACATCTCTTTCTCTAATCCCCTGGGGTCCCAGACCTCTCTTCCTGAATTCTGAGGGTTTCTTGGCCCCCTCCTCTCTGCCCCTGGAGATCTCAGTCTCCCATCCCCTAGTCTCCTCCCCTGGATCCCTGAGTTCCTTGCCCCTCCCCCACCCCTCTCCTCAGTCCCGAAGGTACTACTTCCTGAGTGAGGAGGCTGATGAGGGGGATGAGCTGCGGCAGCGCTGTCTGGACCTGGAGCGGCAGGTGGGCTGAGATGGGGGGACCACAGGTGCTCCTGGGGCAGGGTTGCCTTCATAGCCCCCCTCCAGGCTCCAGCTCATCAGCACCCTCTGCCCGCAGCTAGTGCTCCTGTCAGAGGAGAAGCAGAACCTGGCGCAGGAGAACGCGGTGCTGCGCGAGCGGGTGGGCCGGCCCGAGGGTGAAGGCGCCACCGGCCTCACTGCCAAGAAGCTGCTGCTGCTGCAATCCCAGCTGGAGCAGTTGCAAGAGGAGAACTTCAGGTGTGGGCAGCGGGGAACGGGCCAGGCAGGCCGGGGGGTTGGGGCGGGTGCAGCCCTCTCATGTGCGCATCCCCGCTGCCCCCCAGGCTGGAGAGCGGCAGGGAGGACGAGCGCCTGCGTTGTGCTGAGCTCGAGCGGGAGGTCACCGAGCTGCAACAGCGAAATCAGGCGCTGACCAGCCTGGCTCAGGAGGCTCAGGCCCTGAAGGATGAGATAGATGAGCTGCGGTGAGTGGTGGTCCCTGGGTCCCCACTGCACTCATTGCCAGAGTGCCCCTCTGATGCTACAGTATCTCTGTCACCCCAAAATGCCCAGTGGACCCTCACAGTGCCCCTTTGCTATCCTGAACCCCAGTGCGCTATCTTGAACTCTACCATGTCCTCTGGACATGATCAAGCCCCCTGGACTCATGTCGTCTTCCAGGACCCCACTGTGTCACTCTTATCTCATATTGTATCCGCTAGAACTTACTGCATCCCTATGACCCCAGCAAGCCCAGCCTCCAGCCCCAGTGCTCCCCAGACACCACTGCACCATTCTGGGTCCCCTCATGCCCCAGGACCCTATGGTGCCCTGAGGGTGGCACAGTGCAGTCACCTTGCAGCCCCTTGTGACCCACCCCCCATGACACAGCTGTACTTTCTGATGACTCTACAACACCCCTGCAACCGCAAAGAGCTTGGAGGACCCCCACAGCACCCGCCCACTCACCTTACTGTGTTTTCTGTAACCTCAAAGAGCTCCCCTGAGACCCCATGGCACCCCTGTAGTGTTGTATTGCCTAGTGACCCCTGACTGCACCTTCAAGGACCCCATAGTGCTCTGGCCCCAAAGCTCCCCCATGACCCCACCATGGCCCCTGTGCCCACAATGCCCTCATTGATCCCACAGCCACTTCATGACCCCAAAGTGTCCTTGGGGGCTGCTCTGACCCTCTGGGCTCCATCATTACCCAGCTCCCATAACCCCACAATCCCACCCCTGAGAATTGCTGTTTGTAACGCTGGGCTAATCATCGATTAGCTCCCTTTATGCCCTCTAATGACCCCCAACAGCACCAGGCGGTGTTCCCTGACCCTTATGACCCAACCCCTTGAACCCAAAAGCCCCCAGGCCGACATGCTCCCCCGCCCTGAGGGCCTCGCATCCAAGCCGAACCCTGATGGCAGCCCCCCTGATGGCAGCCCCCGGCATCTTCCTCGCTTGCCTCATCCCCCAGGCAGTCCTCGGAGCGCGCGGGGCAGCTGGAGGCCACGCTGAACAGCTGCCGGCGCCGCCTGGGCGAGCTGCGGGAGCTGCGGCGGCAGGTGCGGCAGCTGGAGGAGCGCAACGCCGGCCACGCCGAGCGCACGCGGCAGCTGGAGGACGAGCTGCGCCGGGCCGGCTCGCTGCGCGCCCAGCTCGAGGCGCAGCGGCGGCAGGTGCGGCAGGGCCAGGGCCTGGGCCCGGGAGAGCCGGGTGCTCTGGGCAGCAAGGCACCTCACCGCGCGCCCCCTGCCTTTGGCCCACCCCCAGGGTGGTACCAGGGTTCTTCCCCTCGTTTATATGTAGGCCACGCCCTCTAGGCTTTGCCCCAACGGGCTCTGCCTGTCTGGATTTGCAAGCCACGCCCCTTTTCGTAAGCCCCTCCCCAAGTTCTACGCCGCTGGGGGCCTTTAGCCCCGCCCCTTCACTTTGTACTCAGTCCCTGCCCCTTCTTCCAACCCTGCAGTCTTTACCCGCCTCCTCTGTTCAGGTTCAGGAACTGCAGGGCCAGCGGCAGGAGGAGGCCTTGAAGACCGAGAAATGGCAATTCGAGTGCCGCAATCTGGAGGAAAAATATGAGTCGGTGACAAAGGAGAAGGAGGTGAGGCAGAGGTCCCACCGCCCAAGCCCCACCCTGTCCATCATGGCATAGCCCATTCCCCAGGAGGCCGTTCCTGTCTCAAGTGGCCTCTCGCACTCTTTCTTTCTAGCGGCTGTTGGCAGAGCGGGACTCCCTGCGCGAGGCCAACGAGGAGCTGCGCTGCGCCCAGCTGCAGCCGCGGGGGCTGACCCAGGCCGGTGAGTTGGAGGCCCATCCAGGGGCCTGGGGGAAGGGTGACCTCAGGTGCTGTTAGGGCGGGCAGAAAAGGCAAGTGTCCCAGGTATTGTCTAGGCCAGGGGCAGAGCTAGGCCAGGCTGGAGGGAGGCTAGAGTGGGAACAGGTGACATGGGCCGACAGAAGGCGGGGGCTGTTCTCCTGGGCTCAGGGTGGGGCCAGGGCAAGGGGGCCAAGCATCAGGGCTCTTGGTGGAACTTGAGCCCTAAAGATGATTCTTGGAAAGAGGACCCTAGGGACGGGGGTGGGGGCTATGCAGCGAAGACTTTCTCCCGTTCTCCAGACCCCTCACTGGATCCCACCTCACCAGCTGTGGAAAATTTAGCAGCGGAGATCCTACCTGCGGAACTCAGGTATCCTGTGGTCACTCGGAGCTCTGGCCCCACTCTGCCTGCACAGCTCCGTTGCCGGGCTCCTAGGCCCAGGCACTCCTAATTCTGCCCTTACCTGCCCTGGGCACTAGCCTTATTAGTGGCTCGCCTCTCCAGGATCCGTCCTCAGTGCACAAATTAGGTCCCAACCCTCTGGCTCCATCGACGGTGCAAAAATTCTGCGCCCAGCCCCGCCCACATCGGGCCTTGCACCGCCAGGGCACAGCTCTGTCGTCATTGTGGCCCCTGCTAGGTTCAGTGCCCTGTGCCCTGCTCAGATTAACTCTCCCACCGCAGCTCTTCGCATTCCTGCCTCTTGTTTTCTTGCAGCCCCACCCCGAGGGTCCTAACCAGCTCCTGTAGCCCCGCCCTTGCCTGGCTCCACCCCTAAGCCTAGCTCATAGCTCCGCCCACCCCCGCCCAGGCCCGGGTCTCCAGCCCTCTAATCCCACTCCAGGGCTCCGTCCCTCTCCTGGCCCCGTGCGCCGGGTCTCCCTGCCGGAGCCCGGGCCGGCCTGCGCGGTGACCAGTCCCCAGCCCTGCTCCTTCCTTCCCGGTCGCAGGGAGACGCTCCTGCGGCTTCAGCTGGAGAACAAGCGGCTGTGCCAGCGGGAGGCGGCCGACAGGGAGCGGCAGGAGGAGCTGCAGCGCCACCTGGAGGACGCCAACCGCGCGCGCCACCGGCTGGAGACGCAGCACCGGTGAGGGCCGGCGAGGCGGCCGCGGCGGCGCGTGCAGGGGGGCCGAGGGCTGGCGCGGGCACTGAGCGGCCCCCGCCCCCGCAGGCTCAACCAGCAGCAGCTGTCGGAGCTGCGGGCCCAGGTGGAGGACCTGCAGAAGGCCCTGCAGGAGCAGGGGGCCAAGACTGAGGACGTGAGTGCCCACCTCCCCGCTGCCCGGCCCTCTCTCGTGCCCCGCCGCTAACCCTTCTCTCTCTCCCCCTGCTGCCCGACGCCCCGTGCAGCCCATTGTAAGTACCGTGGGCCCAGGGTGGCACCCCCTACCCTCACCTGGAAGGGGGTTGGGACCTCTGGACCCCCAGTCACCCGGTGCCTCTTTTCTCCCCCAGTCCACCCTGCTGAAGAGGAAGCTGGAGGAACATCTGTGAGTCCCAGAGGGAGGGCACTCCCGGGGGTGGGGTGGATTTGGTGTCGATGGGGAGAGCCAGGCCCCCGAACACAGGCTGAAGGCTCGGAGCAAGTGGGGTCTTATAGACCAAGAAGAGGAGTATGGGCTGTTCGGGGGGAACAATGGGGAGCCACGGAGGGAAATTCTAGCTAGGTAGTGTGACAAGGTGACAGTCACCTTTTACTTTTTTTCCTGTTAAACAAAGAAACTATTGTAAATAGTTACCCCATTTATGGTTTAAAAAGCAAAATGTAGGGTCCGGCTCCGTGGCCGAGTGGTTAAGTTCGCGCGCTCTGCTGTGGGGGCCCAGGGTTCGGATCCTGGGTGCGGACATGGCACCGCTTGTCAGGCCACGTTGAGGCGGCGTCCCGCATCGCACAACTAGAAGGACCGGCAACTAAGATATACAACTGTGTACAGGGGGGGGTTGGGGAGAAAAAGCAGAAAGAAAAAAAAAAAGATTGGCAACAGTTGTTAGCCCAGGTGCCAATCCTTAAAAAAAAAAAAAGGAAAATGTATAGAGAGAGGAGTATACCACCCAGTGCCCCCATGGACTCAGTTTCTACCCCACCCCATCCCCGTTCCTATTAGTTTATTATGCAAATCCTTCTGGAATATTTTAAGCAAATCTAAGTGAGTATGAATATAGATTTTTATTCTCATTGCTTACTTACAGTAAAGGTAGTGTACTCTGTGCTCGTCTGCACTTTGCTTTTCCCACTTAACAAGCGGACCGGAAATTTCTCCATATAAGGAAAAAAAGTCATTATTTTTTATAAACATAGCAGCATTTATCAACCAGGCTTCCATGGGGAAACTGGCCCTTACAGAAAAGGATTCGTGAGACTGTTTTCTGAGTTCTACCAAGGATGGAATGTAGCTTGTGCCGCCCCAGAGCCCAGAAAAAGTTATTTCCTCACAGAAGATGGCTACCCGGAGGATTAGGGCTAAATTCTCCTGTAAAATTCTGGTCCGGAAGGGCTGGCCTGTAGCATTTTTTGTGAATATCATAATGTATATAACTCATTCTTTTTAGGTATTTGCAATTTCAAACAATGCAACAAAGTAAAACCTTGTCTGCATCATTTCACTTGTGTGAAAATATATCGAAAAAGTGGAATTGGCAGCTCAGAGGGCACGTGCCTTTGTAATTTTAGTAGACAGAGCTAAAGGTTTGCTCTTACGTGTTCTACCACGTTCTGCATCAATGCACAATAGTAGTCTCACCTCCAGGGAGTGTTATCACATCTTTGGCATTTTCCCACAGGTGGCAGAACTGTAAAGTTTTAGCTGGCATGTCCTTTTGTTGTAAGAGATTTGCATTCTAGAAAGATCCCTGGCTGCTGGGTAGAGAATGGAACTGAGGGGTTGGGAGTAGGAGAGGCTGGTGAGGGATGGTGGTGGCTGGACCAGCGAGTGGGCTGTGGAATGGAGGAGGTGGACAGAGGGGACAGGGGACAGCCACCTGACTAGTGGTGTGGAGGGTTGTGGCTCTGATGGCTGAGGAGATGGTGAGGCCAGGGCACATAGTCCCTGGGCTTGAGGGGCAGGCGAGAGGCCTCTGCAGCTGTGCAGGGACACTTCTGGCCAGCCGGGAAGGCGGTGGCCACTGCTGGGAGGGAGAGAAAGTGGGCCAGGAGGTCAGCCTGCCGCCGCCTGTCTCCTGGCTGCAGGCAGAAGCTGCACGAGGCGGACCTGGAGCTGCAGCGGAAGCGCGAGTATATCGAGGAGCTGGAGCCCCCCGTGGACGGCAGCAGTGAGCGGGACTCCGTGCGTGGCCAGACGGGTGGGGGAGCCTCGAGTCGGGCAGGGAGCTGAGGGGCCACCTCGTTCCCCCAGCAGCCCAGCGCATCGAGGAGCTGCAGCACAGCCTGCGGAAGAAGGAGGCCGACTTGCGGGCCATGGAGGAGCGGTACCGCCGCTACGTGGACAAGGCGCGCACGGTGAGGACGCTGGCGCCCCCCAGGCCTCCAGCCCAGGCGGCCACCTGCCTGTGCCTCCCCTCGGTTCACGCCTGCCACCAGTTTGCACGTCTCTGCCCCCACCCCTGCAGTTGTAATACCCCATCCTGTCACAGGCTTCTGCACCACTGCCACGAGCCGTCACACTCTCCACACCCCATGAGTCAAGGGGCCTGCGAGGTCAAGGTCACCTTGGCTGTGTCTTCCCCGACCCCTAGGTCATACAGACCCTGGAACCCAAGCAGCGGCCACCAGGGGGTGCGCCCCCAGAACTCTACTCCCTGAGGACACAGCTCCGGGAGCGGGACGTCCGCATCCGGCACCTGGAGGTGGGTGTCCCCCTCCCTCCCTGCTGCCCTGAGCATGTGCAGGCCCTGACTGTCGCCTTCTTGGCAGATGGACTTTGAGAAGAGCCGAAGTCAGCGGGAACAGGAGGAAAAGCTGCTCATCAGCGCCTGGTATAACATGGTGAGTGCCCCGTCACCATGGCTGGAGTATCCGGGGTGCCGGTGGGCTCGCCTGACCCTGTCATGCCCCCTCCTTCCAGGGCATGGCCCTGCAGCAGCGCACTGGTGAAGAACGGTCGCCCGTGCATGCCCAGTCCTTCCTGGCACAGCAGCGACTGGCCACCAATGCTCGCCGTGGACCCCTGGGACGCCTAGCATCCCTAAACATGCGCCCCTCTGACAAACACTGAGAGACCTCGGATGCTGCCGGCTGTACGGCCAGTCATGGCATACTCCACCCTGGATTTCCCGACTCACATGGGGCCTGGCATCATGCCTGGGCCAGCTGCTTGAGAGCCTCGAGGTCATGACCTCTGCTCTTTGCTCTCCCAGATAGGACAAAAGTTCAGGACAGGGTGGGAGGCAGAGATGGGCCTGTTCTTTTAGCAATGTGATTCTTATTTTTGATTTTCTCCCTGGGGTCAATGAACTGCCAGGGGAGAGAGTGATTTTATATTTGAGAAGAAAAATAATAGAGACTTTCAATCTGTCCTGGCTGGACTCTGGGCACTGAGGGGAGGGAGAGAAAATGGGCCAGGGACTCAGATGATAGCTTTTAAGAAGGGCCTGATTTGTATTCTTACTAAAGTGTGAGTGACTGATAGCACCCAGTAGGAGGTGAGAATCGTGTTTGTCTGTGTAACTGTGTGTGTGTGTGGTGGTTTTTGAAGACAGACATCCCTACCTTATGAGGCAGTCAATTCCAATGAAGGGAGGCAGACAATAAGCAAAATAGAAAAAAAATCAAAGTTTGATACAAGAAATGCTACAGAGAAAAGTGAAGCAGACAAAAGTAATGAGGATGCAGGGGGTGGATTTGGGAGATGGTAATTTTTAACAAAAGGCCAAGAAAGGCCTCACCAAGGAAGTGATATAATTTAAGCAGAGACCTAAAGGAAGTGAGGGAGGGGCTGTGTAGGTATCTGGGGGAGAGCGACCCAGTCAGAGGGAACAGGCCTCTGTTCTGCAAACGTGAGGTGGGACCTTGCTTGGTGGGTTAGAGGGATAATGAAGCCAGTGTGGCTGCAGCAGAGTGAGTGAGGGGAAGAATAAGAGGAGACGAGGGCAGGGAGATGGTTCAGGGCCTCATGGGCTGCATGCAGTACTTAGCTTTTATTCTAAACGAGGTGGGAGCCATGGAGGGTTCTAAGCAAAAGAGGGCTGGAACCTGATTCAAGTGTTCCTAGGCTCTCATTAGCTGCCCTGGCAGGAGCAGACTGTAGGGCGTTAGGACTGGGGCTGGGAGCCCGGGGCAGAGGTCACTTCCTGGCGGATGGGTGACGCTAGGGGCTCTGGCCAGGGTGGCGGCCCTGGTAGAATGGGAAGTGGCTGGATTCTGGATACAGTGTGAATACCCAGTGGATAGGGTTTGCTGCTGGGTTGATGTGGAGGGGGTGAGGGAAAGAGAGAAGCTGAGATGACTCCAAGGGTTTGGCTATATCATCTGGAAGGACAGAGCTGACAGGCAGAGGTGGGGGCAGGCAGGGGAGCCCACAGGGAGCTGGTTTGGGAGCATGTGATGTTCGAGGTGCCCGTGAGATCCCCACATGGAGACATCAAAAAGGCAGTTGGCTCTCAGGTCTAGAGCCAGGAGAGAGATCCTGGCTGGACTTAACTCAGGAGTGGTCCGAGTATGGTGGCATTAAGACCTGGAGTGCTGAAGGAGACATGGGAGAATGCAGGGACTGGGGGCGGAGGTGTCATTTGCAGAATCATAAAGCAAAGCTGGCGGGAGGAAGCTGTGGTCCCAGGACGCGGCTGGCACACTGACGAGTGAGTAAAGCCATGGGCACCGCTGGGGGCATTTCAGAGAGCAGAGTTTGGAAAGAAGTGGGCAGGGCATCATCAAATAATCCAGGAGAACTCTCCAGTCTTCTTAGCATAATGCCTGGCAAGAAAAGTCAGAATAACCACTAACGTTTTATTGAGCACCTTTATGTCCCAAACACTGTAAAGCCGTCATTTCATTTCATCTCACAACTCAATGAGGTAGGCGCTCACAGCTCCACGTCAAGGAAAGAATGAAGGCAGAGCACACTGATAAAAGCCTCTCAGGCAGCGGGCGATGAGGAGTGGAGCTGGCGGTGAGGACCGGCTGTTGGAGGCTACTGGGAAAATCCCCCGCCCCTAGCACAGTGCCCGGGCCAGAGGGGGCGCTCCACGCCCCTGCGCCAAACAGGAGGGCGGCGCGCAGGGAGCCGGAACGGGTCAAAAGCAGGCCGGTGGGGTCCACGCGGCTCACGTAGACGCGGAGCGCTGCCTGCGGGCGGTGTGGGGGCTTGGGTCCCTGTCCTTGGGGATCCCGGGCTCGAGGGTCTCACGCTAGACTCTCTTCCTCCTCGCCAATGGGGCTGGGCAGCCAGGGCGGAGCCGGCCCCCGGGGCGCGGGCATGGGCACCGTGGTGAAGGGCTCGGCGGCGGGCGGCTCGGGGCCGGCGGGGGGTTCGGCCTCGGGCTCCCGCAGGCCGGAGTCGAGCAGCGGGTCCCCGCAGCCGCACTCCGGGGCCGCGCCCTCGGGGGCGCCGGCGCACGCGCAGCTGGGGGCGGTGGATGCCTCGGACACGCAGCTGTTCTTGCGGCGCAGCAGGGACAGGCGCCGGCCCAGCAGGCCCCCTGAGGCCATGCCCGCACCCACCGGCAGGAGGCGCTGCAGGAAGTCGCCGTGCGCCTCGCCCAGCGGCCCGTCCACGCCATCCAGCCGCTGGAACTGCATGTCCTCCTTGGCCAGCCTGCGGGACGGACGGTGGGTCAGCGCTGCGGCCTCGCCCCTCTTCTTCATTAACAGAGCTGCGGCCGAGGCAGGCTGCTGCTGCTCCTCCCGGCTCCACCCCCTCCCTTGTCCCGCTTATCCCCAAAGACCTTGGCCCTCGCCCGGGAGCCTGGCCTTAACTGCCCTCAGACTTAGGCCTCAAAGCCGCAGCTGTGGCTCTGCGGCGTCTCCTTTGGGACCGCCTCTGGCCCGTCCAATCCTCATAGACCTTAGCCCTTAGCTCGGCCCCCGATTAATGGCCGGGTGCCAGACCTTGACCCCACCTCTGCCCCCTGCCCCATCCCAGTCTTAGCCCCGAATCTCCGGAGTTTAGCTCTTAGCCCTGTCCTGGCCCCCGCCATAGCCCCTTCGATCAGTTACACCCGCTAGAGCCATAAGCCCCGCCCCCGAGGCCCCGCCCCCCCCCCCCCCCCCCCCCCCCCCCCGCCGGCTCACGTGATGTCGAAGGTGGAGCCCTGGAAGGAGGGCTGCTGCAGCAGGAAGGCGGTGGCCGCTGTGTAGGGGGCGCGAGCCTCGGCCGCATCCCAGTACAGGTCTTTCTCTAGCATGGCCAGGTCGTCGTACATCTCATCCACGGCCAGCATCGACACCTGCGGGCCGGACACGCGGGGCGGTGTGGGGCGTGGCAAAGCGCGGGCATCAAATAGAGAAGGGGGGCTCGGGGCGAGTCCCGGGCCAGTCTTGGCGAGGGGAGGGGGCGGGGGGCGGCTGTGGGAGGCTTGGCACCACGGAGAGAGCCTCACCTGGAAGTTGCGGTCGATCAGAAAGTTGGTCTCAAAGTCGTCATCATCCTCTCCGAAGGGGTTGATGAGCTGTTCGGCTACCTGAAGGGGAAGGGGAGGCAGAGCCCTGAGAACCGCTTGCTCAACCCACCCCCGGAGCGCCGGCCTCGAGGCCCCACTCACCTTGAGCCAGCCAGCGTAGAAGAAGAACTGCAGCAGGGTGAAGATGGGCACGCACAGGTCCAGGTTGTGGTCTTTGTAGCCCTGCGCAGGGTCCAGGAACTGGCGCCCGATGAGGCAGGCCAGGAAGTAGCTGTACACTGCGATAGTCACCACCTGGGGGCGGGGCGGGCCCCTAGGTCAGGGTTCTCCCCGGCCTCTGGGGGGTCACGGAGAGACCAGGGCTAGGATCGGGCGTCACCGTGATGGGGTCTTAGCTGGCTCTCAGTTTCCCCTGGAGACGAGTGCGTCAGGGCCTCTGACACGAGATGTAAACTGAGACGCAGCAGGGTTACCTGGGTGTAGACGAGGGGTACGCTGATCCAGTCGTAGTGAAAGAGCATCCCACACTTGCCCCGAAACGCAGTCAGCTCCTGGGGGCGATACAGGTCATGAGGGGGCCTGAATTGTGAGCTCACACGTGGGGATTAAGTGTGGGTACCTGGGATGGAGTTGAGTGGTCACCTGGGGTCGGGGGAACCGTGCACCTAGGAGTCGGCCCCATAAAGATAAATGTGCATCTGGGGGCTGCTAAGTAATGGTGTTTGGTGTCTGCCTCCTGGGAGGTGCGTGGCAGGCTGCTGTGTGGCACAACTCGGGGTGGGGTACAATTTCCCTGCAATGTTATGTGAACGACCACCTGGAGAGCTCACCTCCAGCAGCAGCTTAAGGGCGCTGTTGTCGCGGATTCTGCCCTCACGCCTGGCCTGTGCAGCCAGGTTGGAAAACCAGACGAAGGGGACCCAATACTTGTTGTAGGGCGAGTTCAAGTTCTCGAACTTCTTGCGCTCTTCGCGGGTCATAAATCCTGGAGGGGCGAGGTTGGGGGTTACTCGCCCCGCCCGGGTGCTCGTCCCGCCCCCGCCCCGCTTCTAGCCGGAGCCTCACCCGCCTCCACCACGTGGTCTATGGTGGGGAAGCGTTTGAAGACCGCGGTGCTGACGGAGCGCAGGATCAGCACGGCCGAGAGCCCTGCATAGCGCATGAGCGTGCGCCGGTAGAGGCGGCCGCGCTCGTCGCGCCCGTGCACGGTGCCCGCCACCACGCACATGAGCGCGTCCGGCAGCGGCATGCATAGGTACTGGTCCCACCAGCGGTGCAACACCAGCGTCACGTAGAAGCCTGCAGGGGAGCCAGAAATGGGCGGTTCAGTGGGGACACTAGAGCCAAGGGGGTGGTGGTAAGAGGGTTAACATAGGGCCTGCCGCAGGGACACCGGGCAGGCTGGGCACCCTGACCACACGGGACCACCTGGGCTGGGAACTAGGGGGTCAAGCCCTAAGCTCAGAGAGGCGGGAGCAAGCTGGGTCACCCTGGGCTACTTGAATGTCGTCTGGGATGTGGGATTGGGACCCCGCATGGAGGTGGAGACACAGGGCCCATGTTAGGGGCACATGGGCGGGTTGTTTATGCCATGGGGAGCCACTCAGCTGGGGGCATAGGGACCGGAAACAGGAGGCTGGGGTCGTGGGAAGTCACCGAGCACTGGGGGGCAGGACTTGATAAAGAAATGCCCCTCAGGCTGCGCCTGAGAGGATGGAGTCATATGGGATCCCTGGGCCCAGGACATGCGGAGGGGCACTAGTAATCTCATGCAGACCCAGGTGGGAATCCCCGCGGTGACCAAGGATAAGCCTATGGGTGACACGGAGTTCTCATGGGGGCCCTGTGACCAGGTGACATCCAAGGTCTTGGGAATTGGGGCCACATCTGGCGTGAAGGACGCAGAAATGGGGGTCTGTGAGGTTGGATTTGGGGGGGTCTCAGAGGGGCAGGAACGGAGGTCTCCAAAAGGCATGAATGGAAATGGGTTTCTCAGGATCGGGGGGTCTGGGGACTCAGGAGCGCGAACGCACCGAGCACGAAAGAGACGGGGATGAGACTGGCGTACTGGTCGCAGTAAATGACGAGCTTCTCAAAGTAGCGCTTTTGCTCGTCGGTCAGCACGAAGCTGTGAAGTAGGGGGCCGCGGGGTCACGGGCGAGCCCCCCCTCCCCAGCCGCGGATCCCTTTTCCCGCGGCCCCTCCCCAGCCCCCTCGGGCGGGCCCCCTTCCCCAGGGCGCGCGGGTCCCAGCGGAGCGCGGGCGCGGGCCGGCCGCCGCCCCGGGGCCGCCTCACCGATAGGTGGCGCTCAGCGCCATGTAGAGCCCGAGGAAACAGACCAGCTCGCGCCACAGCAGTTTGTAGATGCTCCCGCGCCACAGTAGCAGCAGCTGCGAGAAGCCGCCGAAGCGCGCGTTGGCCACGCGGGCGGTGTACGTGACGGTCATCGCGCCGCCGGGTGGTCGGGCCGGAGGAGAGGGGGCTGCAGCGGACCCCGGGCTAGGGAGTCGGGGGTGGAGAGGTGCGCGGCCGACTCAGCGCGACCCCTCCGCGCCAGGGCCACCTCCTCGGTCCCAGGTTCCTGTCTCTGCCCAGCCCTGCTCAGTCCTGCCCTGGTCCCCGGTCCTCCTCCCCAAGGTCCCTCTCACAGGTCACCCGTTCCCTGGACTCCTGGTCCCAGCGCCTTGCGCCTACCAGGCCTTCCTCCATCCCTCAGCCCCAAGAGCCTTGGGTCCACCGAGTTGCCCCCAAGTGCCCTTCATCCGATCCCATCCCCCTTACGTGGACGCCATCTACAGCCTCCCTCACTCCTAGAGTCCCCAGCGCCTCAGTTTCTAGATTCTCAGGGCTCTGACCCCCCCACCTCCCCACCCCGATTCCCCTCCCTCAGGTCCCTCCTCTGCCCCCCCAGCCCCCAGCTACCAGTCTCGGCCCATTCTGTGCCCCTGCACTCTCTTTTGAAGCCCTGTCCCCAAGCCTCCAGCCCCCTGGTCCCATCCGCAGCCCCCTGTCTCAGGCTGCCCCGTCTCCTGTGCGGCTGCCCCTGCCTATCCGCCCCGCACTTCACTGCCCTGGCTCTGCTCCTTCCCTCCTCCGGGACCCACCTTGACCTTTCCTCTGTGCGTGCCCCTCCAGCCTTCCCAGGCCTCCACGCCCCACCCTGAGGACTCCATGGATTCTTGCCCACAGACCATGTGTCCTCAGGGTCCTCTATTCCCCCAAGCCTGGGCCCTTCTCACCTGGTGGCGGGTGCAGGGACACACGGGGACAGGGACAGGATGGGCGGGTGGCTTCAGCGGTGGGTGAGGCTGAAGCCAGACCCTGGGCGGGAGGGGGCTGGGGAGTGAGTGTGGGCGGCCCCTCCCCGGCCCGCCCCCCTCAGCTGCAGCCTGGGAACTTTGTTTGGAGAAGTCCCGCCAGTTTGTTACCTGGTGTGTGTGGGGGGGGGGGGGCGGGGGGTTGAAATGGCCCTGTCCTCCTTTGCTCCTCCCTGTCTCTCTCTCTGTTAGTCACTGGCAGATCCAAGGAATCTTGGACCTAGAGCTGGGGGAGGGGGCAGGGACCGTCTCCCTTCCAGTCCCAGAGACACACACAGTGCTCAGTGAGGCTGGGTCACCCTGCAGCCACCTGTAATCACACTATCACAAAGACACACATGGAAACACCCACCACAGACCCAGAGACAAATTCAGCTTAGCTCTCGGGCACCTACGCGGTGCTCCAAACAGCCGCTCAGAAGCACATGGGCAGGGACCAGAGGCCCTGTGTGCCTTCATGAGCACTCCACGTAACAAAGACATATGCAAGGTCGCACAACCAGCTAAGCGCAGACCCCAAAATGCCTTCACACACAGCCACAAGCCCCACACAGGGAGGTAGCCCACACGCATTCCTGACCTCCCTGGCAAGGACACACCCATGGTCACACACCAGATGGAGGAACTCCTGTTCTCAACACAGTAGCACGAGGTCCTGGGGGTCAGAGCGGGGTCCCAGCGGTCCCTTAGGTTCACCAATGTTGCAAATACACACTCATGCAACAGCGACCCCTCTCCAACAGACCCTGAGGGTCACGCCCAGTACGGTCCTCCCCATTACCCCTCATGAAATGCACCTGCCTTTGCTCATCAATACATAAAGCGCTCCCTCCTCCCTCACTGAGGTGTGCAGGCGCACACACCCAGACACACACCTCAGGTCTCACACTCTCTGCATCGCCATGAACACGCAAGCTTCGGGACAGACAACCTTGTCTCCACATTTGGCACTGATGTGGGACAGATGTTTCCCCCTCACAGAAACCTACAAAGGGGGCGTTCCCAACCGGGCACAAATGGGCCTCCCAGCCCCCACCTCGAATGCTCGAATGCGTAGCCCAGTGTGGGAGGAGCGGAGGCTCAGAGTTCCAGCCCCAAGAGGGGCGCCTGGGGCTGCCCTGAGCCCCCGAGTCTGCCCCTTGCGCTAGGAGTGCGGATGGCTCTGGAAGGCCCCACCCGAAGCCCTGCCAGCAAGGACGCCGTGTTCCCAGCTTGGCAGATGTCCGCCCCACCCGGGGTAATTAGGAACCAGCCCGGGCTGGCCACCCTCGGACCTGCACCTCCGCTGTCCAGCTGCCGGACAGCCCATAAAAGGGGGCGAGCGGTGGCGCTGCTGGCTGCGGGACGTGGGGAGGGGACAGGCTTCGAGTTGATGGGCTCCGTGTTCCCGACCAGAAAGAGGCCCCACTCCCTAGGACATATCCTCACACCCACCGCAGCCGGCCCCCTCTCCCTCCCTTCCCGCCACCCCCCCGCCCGCCCCTGCCCCTGCCCCCGCACCGTGGGCATGCTCCCTCCCCCAGCTCAGTGTCCCCACTCGTTTCTGGCTGCTGGACCCCCGCTGGGCTGGGGCAGGTTGCCCAGGTTAGTTCACATGCTTAATAATTGTAGCAGCTAGTGAGAATAAACGCTGCTTGGCAGGTGCAATGCCTCGAGCCGCCGTAAAGGCGTTACTCGTCGCATCTCATTGAGTCCTTACACGCAGGACTGTGAAATTGGTGCTCCTTATTCCCACTATCCAGATAGGGAAACTGAGGCTCAGATGTCACACAGCCTGCTGGCGGCACGGCTGGGATGTGAACCCCAGGCCATTTGCCTCGGAGCCTGGGGTCTTTGCCATGGCTGTACCACTGTTTGTTTACAAGCGCCACTCCCACGAGCCCACACCCGCTTATGCACACCCAGCGGTCAAGTGGGGAGACACGTCTAGGCTCGTGGCTGGGTCCCCCTTACACACACATCCTGGCACGCCCAGACCCTGGGTGTGCGCAGTGTGAACATCCCTTCCTGACTCACACTTCCTGACTCCTGAGGGTTCCTCAGGCACCCCCTTTCGGTCCACCCCCCAGCTCTGACTTGGCCCTGGCAAAGGCCCGAGGTCACGTCCAGTCCTGGTCTCTCCAGCGGGAATGACAGTGGCTGTCTAGGCAGTGCCGGGAGAGTGGGCGGGAGATGGGGACCCGCTAGGTGCCCTCCAGGCTGTGCTGACCTTCCCAGGTCAGGTGAACTTGTGCCACGGCTCTGTGAATGGCCACACTACGTCTCCGGCTTAGGGACAGGGCACGGAAGCTCACACTGACGGCCACTCACTCCCGGCCAGGGCTCCGGGGGTCGCTCGGGCCTGAGTCCTCTGCCACCCTGCCCCCTAACCAGTCCCCCTGTGGCAGCCGGGTGCTGGGAGGAGCTGATGCCATCCCACGGAGACAGGAACTGGGGGGGCGGAGACTGTTAATCCCCAGTCTGGCAGGACCAGCCTCTGCCCAGGGCGCCCACTAATTCCCAAACCAAACAGCAGGCAGTGCTGGGCCCGCTGCCGGCCTAATCCGCTCCCCACCAGCCTGGGGCTGTCCAAGGGGCCTCCTGGTTCCCATGCTCTGAGCCTCGAAGGAAGTGGGCAGATGCTCCTCTCTTCCACTCCAGGCTTTACAGCCCCAGCAGAACACCCCTACCCATACAGAGCTAGAAAAAGTACCTCCTTACTGAAGAATGCCCTCCTTCCAAAACTGCCATAATAAATATACATCTCTATTAGGTCTCAGTTGTGACTGCACCCCTCTGGATGTGACATCTTTGTGTAGTGAACAACCTGTGCAACTGTACATGGAGGTGCTCACCCCTAGATCAACATCCACAGTGGTTTAAGATCATTTTATTGAGGGGCAAGAGGCAGGGAGAGGTGGGGGGCAGCTACAGCCCCCCTGACCCCACCAGGGGGAACAGACCCCCTCCCCGCCTCCTGCCCCCCAAGTTGCTCCCCCTGTACTATGGGGGGACTTTGTGCAAACTCTGCCCCGGTGGGGGTGGAGGGTGGGTGTAAAACGGCAGCAGCTAGGGCTGGCAGCAGTGCTACTGGGCGCAGGGGGGCTTGTAGGGCTCCAGGAGGAGGGCAGAGAAGGTGTTGACCTTGTCCGCCCCCCGAACCTCATGGGGCAGCAGCGGCAGCTTCACAATGTGGAAGTCTTCATACAGGTCCTCCATCTACAGCCAGGGCAGAGGGCAGAAGGCAGCGGTCAGGGGGCCACAGGACAGGGACAGAGTGTGGGACAACAGAAGAGGTCAGGCTGGGGACCTCCCGGGGTCAGGGAGAGAATAAGGGGCAGAGGCTTCCCAGGGTCACAGGTGGGGGTGGCACCAGTGAGGATGGAGAGCACTGGGCTGGATCTCCCACTCCCCAGGGTCACAGGGACCCAGGCCAGCCACAGTCCTTGAGCCAGAATTAGGGTGAAAGAGATGAAGTAGGGGAGACGGTAGGAGGCTGGGAAGAGGACCAGAGGGTAGGGTGGAGCGAAAGGTCAGAGAGGAGATGGGCTGGGCGGCCAGGCCCGGCTCCTGGGTCGGAGGGGCGGGCATGCACACCTGGTCCAGGTACTTGGCCTGGATCTTGTGGCGGGCCTCGCACATCCTACAGGGCTTCTCGGGGTCGGGGAAGACGAGCTGGTTGACGATGATGTTGTGCGTGTCGATCTTGCACTTGGCCAGCTCCTGGATCAGCCGCTCCGTCTCGTACAGGGACAGGAACTCGGCGATGCACACGCAGATGAAGGTCGTCTGCTCCTGCAGGGCGTGAGAGGGGGCAGTGAGGGGCACTTTCCGGCCCTGTCCCCTGTCCCTGTCTGCTGAGCCCCTCACCGCCCGCCTGGACCTCAACTCACAGGGTCCTTGAACTGCTCGCTGACGGAGCGGATGACGGGCAGTGTCTCCTCCAGCTTGGAGGCCAGCTGGTCTGCATTCATGTCCCCCAGGCCCAGCATGTTGCACATCTGTGGGGAAGGCATGTGGGACTCATGGCTCACCTGGGGCCCCTCACATCCCCGGATTAGGGTCTCTAACCACTCGCGGGATGACTCCTGACACCTCCCAGCAGTTAAGGGCGTGGGCCCTCGAGCACACCACAGTAGTCAAATCCCAGCTCTGCCATTTCTGGGGGACTGTGGCCAGAGGGCTTCACCTCCTGGAGCCTCAGTTTCCCCATGTGTGGACCGTGGGTGTTGGGGTGCTGTGCAGAAGTGTGGGAGCATCGGGGTTGTCATGCTGTGAACAACCCACAGTGGCACTCGCGTGATCTCCATTTGACAGACAAGGAAGGTGAGGCCCAGAGGGGTGAAGTGACTTGCTTGGGGTCACACAGCTGTGTCACCAGAGTGCAGAGCATTGAGACCTGGGCCACCGGGCTCTGGAATACATGCTTTCAAGCTCTGTCTGGGGCACTCCGCGGGCAGGCATGGGGACACCGAGTGCTATGGAGCAGGGGGAACAGTCCTCCCACGGGGAAGATCCATCCCACCCAGTGGGAAGCGCCGACAGAGAGGGGTGGGTGGGAAAGGCCTTTGTTACTGCGCATCCGAGCGTCTGGG